ACTACTAGTAAGGCACCTGTTACTACTAGCGTGGCACTTGTTACTACGAGCTTCTTGTTACTTGTGAGCCTAAGTAGCCTTGCCCGTAAACATGTTTCCATGTGTGTGTTTCACTTGTGCATGAACTGTTTTTGGCTCAAGGGCCAATACTTTTTGGCTCAAGTGAGTGGCTAGGAGTAGTGCAAGTAGCTTCTCAGCTTCACTAGGCCGTTTCACCGTCTCACCAGCGTGACTGACCCGCGACCTCGCTCGTGCGAGCAGAAACAGCTGCGCGGCGTTCGTACGCGTGCTCGCAATTGGGGGCTGTTCTGGGAAAGGCCTCCATCTGTGTGTGGAGGCTGGTCGCGGTCGGTGGTTGCGGCTCGCACCACCAGCGCGCTGGTGAGGAGGAACCGCGGGCGGGGCTCGTGGTTCACGGCCTTGCTGCGGGATGAGCCGAGAAGTTGCAGGAGAAGAAGAGGGCGTCACTCTGCTGGAAGCGATCCGGGATGGAAGGGTGCCTACCCCGGAAGAGATGACGTTCCCTCGGTGGCAGGCTTGGCGACGTGCCGCCGGCCGTAGGCCCACAAGGAGAAGGGACGGCAGAGGCCTGCCGACAGGTGAAGAAGTAGCCCTCTGGAGGAGCGTCATGGATGAGCTCTATGGCGAGGGCAGGGCGGCGGAACTTGACGAGGGCGATGAAGAGGAGGAGATGGGGACTCCCTAGGGGGTACCCCCCCTGGTCCCCCACCTCAAATAACTAAAATATTATTTTGGGTACCTTGACATACCCCCAGAGAAAATTACTTTGTCTAGTCTCGACTAGGTGAAATAATTTCATGGCTGCACACAAGAGAATGATAGAAAATGTATGCAAATCTCAGCCAGCTCCTGTTTTTCCCGCGGGACCTTGTCAGGTTTGTCGTCGTCAAACGCTTTGTCAGCGCCTGGTGTACTCCACTCAAGCTTCCACTTCGGAGCTTGAAGAAACTGTTTTTAAAAAGTATTGTTGTTTTTTCTTTCCCGAACATCACCTGGATAAACTTCATTGTTCCAACCCTGCTGGAACAACAATAAAACTCCTAGCTGGCTAAAGCCAGCAGGCTCTAGCCCTGGAATCTAATCCAGCTGGTACAACCGGTGATGCCCATTCAAAGAAGCGAAATTATTTTGAGTGCATGGAAGTTACAATGGTCACCAATGTATCCTAATTATGTCAAGTGCATGGAAGTTCCAATGGTCATCAACGTATCCTAATTATTTCAAGTCCTCTGAGTGATAGCTGTTTATTATTTTGGAGGTCCCTGGAACCCCCACCTCGATGTATCCTCCAAATTCCAAATTATTCTGTAAAAATTATTTAGCTCACATACCCCCACCCTGGAATAATTTCAACAAGGGGGTAGCCATAAGAGGAGGAAGAGAGGCCGTCGGCATCGGCCTCCCCTTCTGTTGCGTCTCGTGAGGTCGCCTTGGTGAATAGCCCACGCCCGTCTTCAGTTGGCACTGGAGGAGTCAGCGTGGTGAGCCTTCGGGCCAAGTTGCAAGCGTTGTATGACCCTTCGGCGGGGGAATTCGGAGCGTACCTGATGCGTATGGGACGAATCATCTCCGCTTTCCAAGCCTTGGACGCAGCTGTTCCGCCGGGTCTGTTAGAGACAGTGACAAGAAAGGCGGAATTCATGATCGAACTGTATGGTGAGCATGGGGGTTTGGACAAAGTGAGAGCTGTGCGTTTCTTGCGAGACAAGTTCGTAGCTTACGCGCAGGATGAGACCTTAGACCCTCGAGAGAGAGACAGTTCGATCGCCGCGATCGGTGAGTTGATTGAACAATTGGGAGGGAAACCGAGTTCGAGCCCAGGAAAGGTGTATAGTACTCCGTCTGGAGCGGAGGAAGCAACGGTTCCTGTGGCTCGCGGTCCCGTCAGCGGTCTTCGCGACGTCGGACGCGGCCAACGACCGGCGCCCGGTCCCGCTCCTAGTTCGGGACCAGAACAAGATGGGGATTTCTCTCTCAGGGCCAAGCTGGCAGCTCTGGAGATGGAGCTGGAGGCGATGAAGCGAGAAAAAGCCGAATCAAAGGCCGGTTCAGCGTTGGGATCGGAGCAAGGCTTAGCAGCCGCCTTGGCCCAACAAGAAGGCAGCGCTGGAGGCACAAACAAAGGTGCTCCAGGAAGCGTTGGGACGAGGCGGAGGCAATCAGTCTGTCACCGCGGTCAAAACAGACCTTCATTGGCCGACCTTGACAGACGAGCGCTCTGACTTCAAGGATGTCACCTTGTTCTATGAGGAGTTCGAGGATGTGTGCGCCTTAGCGAACTCCTGCCGTGGAATGAATGCCCGCGAGAAACTGCTGGCTCTCCGAGCGCGCTGCCGGGGAAGTAGGCTGAAGACCTACCAGAACCTGTACCGGTCCGCCTGGAAGTCCGGAGAGGTCCTGGAAGACCCCGAAGCAGTGTATGAGCGCATCAAATCGAAACATTTGATGTTTAGTGAAAGCCGAGAAGAGCGAGAGATCCGCGTCGATGCGGAGCATGTCGCGCTCATGAAGGGGAAGCTCACTGGTCACCAGTTCGAACCTTTGTTCGAAGCGTCGGTGGCGGAATTGGAAGCTGTGGGTCTTGGAAAAACGCAGCGAGAGCTTTTCCTCTCCTACTTGAGGAAGGTTGGGAACAGTCTACAAGGGGGGGGATCCGATCCGACAAGCGGCTTTGGGGACACGAAGACAAGCTCCGAGGGCCGCAGACCTGGGAGGAGGCCCATCGGGTCGTCCTCGAGTATGAGCAGCGAGAAGCGACTAAGCTAACAAGGCCACCGCCAATGCCGTGTTCACGACCACCGGCGAGGCCACGCGTCTTGCAGCGGATCTCGCAAAGAATCATTGAAGACCATTCGATCCACCTTTAAACGTACCTTCTTTGTGCTTCTGAAGAAAAAGTTAGCACTAACATTTTCCTTTCATAAATCATGTAGGCCTAAGAAAAGC